CCACCGGCCCCGCCATGCACCCAGGCAGAGGGTTCTGTGGAGCCCCTGGGCTGCGCGTGGGACAGGCAACCCTATGAGAGATGCTTTTGAATTTCCTGCCCTTTGATGCTTCGTGTCCACTGTGTCTCCCAGCGCGAGACCCGACACCGGATCCCCCCAGCTGTTGGACTCCAGCCCCACCACACACTGCCCACCAGTGCTAAATGCGTCAGCGTGATCCCCCTGTAACAAATGCAGATACCAGCCCTGGCACCTGGCTGGGCCAGCAGACCCCATCTCCCGCTGCCCACCTGCTACACCAGACTCCCGGGGCGCCTCGGCAAAGCGCCTCAAAACACCCATCTAACACCAAACAGCTGCCACCAGCCGCTGTGCCGGGCTTGGCTGCCCTGCCCCCCACCGCAGCTCCTCTGCCAGGGCCATCCCCAGCACCGGGGACGGCTGGAGGTGACAGCAAGCAATGAGCTCTGCAGTCACCCGGATCCTTTTTGGTTCCGTGCCTGGGAATCGCTGGGATCTGCTGATCCCTGCCTGTGAAATCCCAGCTGCAAGGCTTGCTCCGAGGCACCAGGGTGTCCCCAGAGGGGACAGCTTTCGGCAAGGCCACTGGAGCAGGGGGGCTTGTTGCGGGGACGGCTGGAGGTGACAGCAAGCAATGAGCTCTGCAGTCACCCGGATCCTTTTTGGTTCCGTGCCTGGGAATCGCTGGGATCTGCTGATCCCTGCCTGTGAAATCCCAGCTGCAAGGCTTGCTCCGAGGCACCAGGGTGTCCCCAGAGGGGACAGCTTTCGGCAAGGCCACTGGAGCAGGGGGGCTTGTTGCTGGCCCCCGCTCCTGTGTCTCAGGATGTAGGGAGGCAGGAGGAGAGCGGGAGCCCTGCAGGATCAGCACCCTCCTGCCCACAGAGAGACCGGAGGGACCCAGCTGCCGTTTGGCTGCAGTGGCACCCAGGGACCTCTCCGACACTTTCCCCGTGCAGAGGATGCTCTCCCTGAGCTGCAAACATCTCCAGGAGGACACAAAACCAGCTGCCTTGACCCCTGGCTGCCCCCAGCACCTGCATCCCCACCCAGGCACAAGCCGGATGGTTGGACACATACAAACCCCAAAAACCTAAACCTCTGGGGACCGCTGCACCTCAGCCACACGTTTTTCTCTTGCATCCCAAGCCAGCAGCCAGCCTGGAGGTGCTGAGCAACTTGACCTGCCCTGGACCACCACCCAATGCCACACATCCCCGGAGGCATCAGGCTGCAACCTCAGCCTCCCTGTGACACCCAGGCAAAGCCAGCTCTCCAGGGACCCTACAGGTTTGCCCTGGGCACCCTGTAAGACAAGATGAGCCCCAGGGACAGCACCTACCGGAGAAGTTCCTGGTGGCCAGCATGGTGGTGAGGATGGCTCCCTGAAAGACACAGAAGGTGAAAGGAAAGGGTGTGCTGGGCCCTGGCCCCCGCGCCCCTGCCGCTCCCCCCAGCCCTGGGGGAGGAAAGCCCTGCTCATCACCTGTCCCTCGGCCACCTCGCTGGAAGGAAATTGGCCCACAGGCTAATATTCTCCTGCCACCAAAAGCAGCCCTCAGGACCCGACTCCTTGTCCCCAGTGCCAAGACATTGGGTTGCATTCTCCGAAACTGCCTTCCCTCCAAGATTAAAGGGATATTAAATATCCCTGAGGCACATTTCAGTCTTGTTCTACCCTGCCCTAGATGTAGCACGACTCCACTGACCGGAGCCGGCAGCTGGTGGCAAGGGGAGCCACCAGGAAGCGGAAACGGATTTAATTGCAATTAAAGCCGTGCCAGCTAAGAGCAGCAGGACAGGGATTTTTCATGGGAGCCACGCAAAGATCTCCACTGCAAAATAATGTCCATAAAAATGCTTCCCCTTTTCCAGCTGACTCTACTAACTAGTTGCTCAGCATATAATAAGATTACTTTGGACTAATTGCTTACAGTAATGGATTACTATTTCCAAGTGTATGCCTGAACTAATTTGATTACTTGTCTAGCTGGAAAGTAATAATAGTTTATAGCCGGTTTCTTTTCTTGATAATCTTGTTAGTAACCTGCAGCTGCACTGCTCTGTGCCATGCTGCGTTCAGGCCTGGAGTGCTGCCGGGTCTGACCGTGGCACAGGTCAGTGCCACCGGCTCACCCCGGTGGGGAGGGTCTGCAGGAGCCGCCTTGATTTCCAGAGCCCACTCCCAGCACCACGCTGCCAGCTGAGGCTGGGCAGCACCCAGGAGATGGGTGCTTCAGGGAGCTGCTCCAGCTCCACGGTGAAGCCTGGGGAGATGGTGGTTTCAGAGGGGTCCAGGCAGCATGTGAGAAGGGAAAACCTGTGGAGCTGGTGGTATGGGTGAGCCAGAGCTTTTTGCCTCTCTATGAATCGCTGTGTTCCTTGCAAAGTGGCTTGGTCATCAGACAAAGGGGTCTCACTGTGCCTCTCGGATCCGTGTCCTTCCTCAAAGAGGAGCTTTCTTGACAATGACTCTGGTGGGAAAGTCCTCGCCCTAGTGTCCAGGGCAGCTGTATGACTCGATGCTTTCCTTTACCATGGCTTTCCTCTGAGCACTTGGGAACCCCAGCCAGATGCAACCACCACCCAGCTCAGTCTGTTCCCTTCTTCATGATAAGGATCCCTAAATGTCCATCACCCCCATACCACTGACCCAGAGACACCACCCTGTCCTTGGCCCAGAGACACCACCCTGTCCTTTCCCACCCGAGGAACAAACCCACCAGTGACCTGACCATGCAGAGTACGAGAGTTACCTTCAGCTTCCTCCGGGCATTGAACTTCTTCAGACAGTCCACCGTCTCCTGCCTGTGCATGCATGATGCCACGGTGGCACGGTGCTGGGAGGAGAGAGACCTGGCTCAGGGCAGGTGCCAAGAGGCACACGTGCTCCTCAGTGAGATGTTCCCCCCGTTCAGACCCCCACATCTCTAGACCCTGGACCCCGACTGGTGAGTGCCACCAAACTCACCGATATCCAGGGGTGCTTCAGAGCCTCCGCTGCCGTGATGCGCTTGGACGGGTTTATGGTCAACATCTTGTTGATGAGATCTTTCGCTTCAGGAGTGACCGTGTCCCACTCAGGGGAGGGGAACTGCCAAGGCGAAGGGACCAGGGTGAGAGATTGCAGGGAGCAACAGGAGGAGCAGAAGCCCCTTTGCACTTGGGTTGGTTCTCCTGCAACCCTTTGCTCCTGGGACAGGTTGGAGAGACAGCAGCAACTGGAAAGAGATGCCAGCTGGAAAACTGGAGAGCAAGGGTGGAGGGAGAAAGGTGGAAGGCCCAAGACAAGACCTATCTGTCCTGCAAAGTGGATCTGAAACATGTCAGTGTGTGCACCTGGGCACGGCAGTTTGGCCAGCCTTCTGTGACCAGAGAAACTTGCTCCTGTCTGTCTGAATTTGTCCTGGTTGCTCTTCTGGAGCAGCAGACTGCAAGGCAGGGACAGCAGGAGAGAGGGGAGACTGTGGAAGGGGGAGCAAGACAAACTCACTCACATCGTAAGCTCCAGCCTTGATCTGCTGGTAGAGTCGGTGCTGGTCCTCATCCCAAAAGGGCGGGTACCCAACCAGCAGGATGTAGAGGATGACACCTGCTCGGGAGAGAAGATGTGGGATCAGTGGGAGAGGGTTCATTGTGGGAGGTGTTAGCAGACCCAACCTGGGGACTGGCCCATCTCAAGGAGAGAAACTGAGGAATTAGGGAAAGGGCAGGGTTTGCTCCCTGATGAAAAAGCAAACGGCTCATGGGTGGGTCCAGCTCCATGCTGAGGGGCTCAGCAGCTGGGGAGATTCAGCACAGCTCAGCACAGCTCAGCCCAGCTCAGCCCAGCCCAGCCCAGCTCAGCCCAGCCCAGCCCAGCCTGCTCCCGGCACTTCAGACCTGGTCTCACTTACCGCAAGCCCACAGGTCCACGGCTTTGCCATAGGGATCCTTCCGGAGCACCTCGGGGGAGAGGTATCCCGGGGTGCCGGCGAAACCTGGGACAGACAGCCCGTCACGCACCGCAGGTGGCAGCGCCCATCCCCGCACAGCTCACCAGCAGGGCCTGGTGCCCGGCCAGGCACCGCAAGAGCCAACAGCCCTGGCCCTGACACATGCCGACCCGGCAGGACAGCCACCCTCCCTCCCGAAACCTCCATGACTTCGAGAGCAGAGCAACCGTGGCTTTCTGCCAGAAAAAGGATGGTGCGTAAGGCTGGAGTGCTCCAACGTGCTCCTCCAGCACTTGGAAGAGGTTTTCCTCCTCCGGCATCTGCCCCTGTCGCCAGCTTGTCCAGCTCACCAGGACATCTCGGTGACTCACCGAGTCTCTGTGGAGCTGTTTGCCTGTGCCCTGGATCAACACTGGGCTGTTTCCAGGGACACAGCTGGAGCCATCACCCTCCCCATCCCCTGTGCTTCCTAGGCTGGTGCTGCCAGGATACTCCCACAGCCCGGGGGTTCAGGTCCTGGGGATGTGTGTCCCTCCTGGAGCCCCCCCGACCAAACACGCCAACGAGGGCTGGAGGATGACCCACCTCGGGCCAATCCTACTCACCAAACCATGCTTGCTGATCCCCTTCCACCTCGATGGCAAGGCCAAAGTCAGCCAGCTTGACGGCAGCACCCTTCAACTTGGATGCCAGCAGCAGGTTCTCAGGCTGCAGGAGGAGATGGGGGTTGGAGAGGAGCAAAAGCCCCCCTGGGGCTCTGCTGTCACTGGGGGGCTTCCCAGCACAGCACAGAGGAAGGTCAGGGCTCTGGATGTGCTCCCTGACCAGTTTATCTTGCTGTGTGTCATGATGTCCGTGGATCTTTAGAAGACCATGGACAACAAGGACCTCCCTGCCCCCTCTCCCTTGTGCTGTTTCACTCCCGAGCTGGTCTTTGCTCTGTGGCTTCCCAAGAGCTCCTACATGACATTCCTCCCCACTGCATTTTGGCTACCCTGGAGGACCCTGGGCATTGCTCCACAGGGTTTTTTATTGCAGATGGGGCCCCCACATCCTCCCCCAGACTCTTCCCTTGCAGCCCCTACCTTCAGATCCCGGTGGACCACCCCCATCTGGTGGCAGTGCAGGACGGCCTCCAGGATCTGCTGGATGCAGTGGCTGCGGGAGAGAGAAGAAAGCTCACAGAAGTGTTCAGCGAGGCAGAGTTTACTTAGACACTTCTACTTGGCTTCATTTCATCCCTCCTACCCCTCTCCCCATTATGCTTCCCACCAGCAGCCCTGCAGCACAGCTCAGCGTCCCCTTCCACCGAAAGCCACGCATCCTTAGGGAGCAGCTGTAACCCATTAAGACCCCACCAAAGCTGCTGGACACCAAGCCACGGGGAGTGGGAGCACAGGGCTATAGCAGAGCCCGTGGGGTCCCCACAGAAGCAACACCGCGGCACCCGCTGGAGTTGCAATGCCAGCCCAGATTTGGTCTCCAAACCCAGGCAGAGCAGACGTGCTCCTCAGACGTAGAGCTGACCTTCGCTTCGGCCCCGTTTCCCTGGCCTCCTCTAACGCGGGAGGCTTTTGCTGCGTCTGTTCACTCTACATCTAGTTCATTAAACCCCAGCTCTGCCGTGTGCGTGAGAAAGGAAGGGAAAAAAGACTGAGGCGATGATCACTTCTGCTCCAAAACAGCTGTGTGCAAGGCAGAAGGTCTTTATTTACATGTATTTTATTTTATTTGTATGACACTAATAAGTGGATGGGTTGTAAGTGGATTCAGTGCAGGCAGCCCATTAAATGAGATTGCTTTCTGCCTGGAAATAAGGGATATTTCCGTGCAGACAGAGGGAGCATGGAGCTTACCATCCCTCGGACATATGTATGGGCTACGCCTCATGCACAGGGGCAAAGCCAAGAGGCGCAGTGATACCTGGAGGCTGGAGATACGTTCCCCTCAGTAAAACGAGGCTAATGTTGTCCCCTGGCCAAGCTGCAAGGACTAAAGGGATGGTTGCAATGGTACCTAGCCCCCTGCCCCTGCAGGGTACCTGGGAAGTGCCAGCGGGAGCGTGGGAGGGAGGAGAGCTCCAGCACATCCTCCCACCCAGCCTTCACTGCCCCTCCTTGGTGCTTTCAAGGAACCCAGTAAGTTAAAAAGAGGAGGTTTTATCTTTTTTTTTTTCCCCTCTACACATCTGGTTTATGAGCACACGCTGTGGAGCAGCTGTAAAACGCCTCCCAGCATGGAAGGAGCTTACGCTGCAGAAAGCCAGGCGTGTAGGACCCTGGGAGGGGGCAGCTCACGGGAGAAGGGACCGACTGCTGCCCTCTCCGTGGCCCAGCGTGTGTCCGTGCTCACCTGGCATCCGCTTCGCTGTAGTACTCCCTGGCCACAATGTCCTCAAACAGCTCCCCACCGGTGACCCTGTGGGAAAACAGGGTGACCCAGCTCAGCGTGGCAGCAAGGCAGCTGGATCGGGCTCAGCCCTGGCAAATATCCCCCCCCAAATGCCACTGCATCACACGGGGCGGGAGCGTTGGGGGTGCAGGTCAAGGACCTGCCCTCTGCTCGGCTTGGGGGACCCAAGGTTGGTTCAAACCCAGGCTGTGGGAAGGGCTTGGGGCAGGTGAAGGACAGGGGAAAGCTTGGAGGGGGCCCCAGGGTGGAACATGCCGCTGCTGGTGGATTAAGAAGATGTAATTAACCATTACTCACAGGTCAAATATCAGGTAGTGGTGGCCCTCTTCAGAGATGCTGTCATGGAGCCTCACTGTGGCAGAGACAGAAGGGTTACGGAAGATGCCTGGCTCCGGCCCCACTCCCCCCAGAATGCTTTTACTCCCCTTTGGGCACCGGCAGGAGGTGGGGAAGGGCAGAGCAGGGCTGTTCCCCCTCCCTCCTGCTCTTGCCGCTGGCTGGGTAGGGGGGTCCCTGCTCGACA